ACTTTGTTATGCATCTCGATTCTACCCTATACAACATAGGGACTATTGGCCGGAAGTGAAGTTTGATATTATTCATCCGAACTCAAATTTGTTGAGGGAACATGGACGCCCAAAAACTTCTTGCATTCACAATGAGATGGATTGGCGGGAGACGGGTACGAAAGTTCATTATGGAATATGCAAAAAAGAAGGACATAACAAACGTACATGTCCAACTCGCAACTCTGGTGCTTCATCTTCGAGACAAATGGGTGATTAAGGTGGATTTCTTTAATTATTTTTTTAACATACTGTTACAAATCAATTAATATTGAAATCAATTCTATATTTTCTATGTACAGGTTGAAGCATATGCGGTGATATCGTTCTCAATTAGTGTGGGATTGTTGCTTTGTAATACCCTATATTTTATCACTTACTCAAATTCGTGCTTTGTAATACACTATGCTTTATTGAATCATTTGTTGCTTTGTAATAGTCAGATATTTGGAATTGTAATGTACTATACTTTATGTCATGTTATTTGAAATGAACTTTGATTATAATTGTGTTACTTGTCTTATTATATTTCAGCATTAATTATGGATCCAGGACTTTTGGATTCCCATCAGCTATACTTACAACGATCACATCGTTCACAATTAGTGTGGGATGATGGATCTACCATAGTTTTGCAATGTCGAAGAAGAGAGACCGTAGTATCTCATAACATTAGGCTAAATAATCGTATAGTGTCATATCTACAACCGTCTGGATTTGGGGGGTTTCATAGATAGACTTCACTCAATTAGATTGACATCTTATTACTGCACTAGTGGAGCGATGGAGGCAGGAAACTCACTCGTTTCACATGCCTGGTGGAGAGTGTACTATTACACTACAAGATGTTGCTGTGCAGTTATGGCTACCTACTGATGGAGAACCCATTACAGGATCCTTGCAATACGATTGGGCACAGTTATGTGAGGACCTACTGGGAGTACGACCTCCTCAACTTAAGGGATCTAGGTTGAGTATTCCTTGGCTAGCGGCACAATTCATTAAATTACCACAAGATGCTGATGAGGTTATGATACAAAGATACGCACGAGCATATATTATGCAGCTCATCGGTGGATTTTTATTTCAGGATAAATCTAACACATTAGTTCATCTCATGTTCATTCCGCTACTGACTGATTTCAAGGAAGTTGGACAATATTCATGGGGTAGTGCATGCCTCGCATGGTTATATCGAGAACTCTGTCGGGCTAGTCGAGTTGATGCCTTGGATATAGCAGATCCGTTGATACTTTTACAAGTGTGGGCGTGTGATAGGTTTCCTACAATTGCTCCACAACACCATGTACTCACTCCTGAACAATATGCTGGACGTCCTCTCAGTGCACGGTACATTCATTTCCATTTATTTATAAGTGATTTTTAAATTATATGTAATTGAATAAGTTTTACATAATGCAGATGAAATGAAGTTTTAATAGCTTTTGAACAATCTACGAACATGTTGGTTCAATATCAAACATGTTTTGATCGACTTAAGCCCAACGAGGTATATTACTTAGAAATAAATAATTATAATTAACTTAATAATAATATTAATTCTTATTTATTAATGATTTCAGATTATCTGGACACCGTACAATCACGACATTATGACTCTATTACCTGAATATTGTCATAATGGGCGAGATATTTGGTTGACTTTAAGCCCTCTTATATGTTTTCATATTATCGAGTGGCATCTACCGAATCGAGTGTTGCTATAATTTGGGCTTTTACAGAATAAACCGTTATATTGTAATACTGACACGGGTCTACATCAGATCGACCTACGAGGAAAACATGATCACAATTGGCAACGTCAACATGCAGTATATATATCACTATGGCGTCAACGTCGTGATCGGTGTGCATTTAGTGATGCGACAGAT